CTGTACTGCTTTTTCAAAAATATTTGAAAATGATGTTGCTACTATAACAGCCAATAATCTGAATACTATGCTCACTCAAAACAATTATACTAATATGTATGTTAGTATTTTGGGTGAACAGGTTATTAAGATTCATGAGAAATTGGGCAAACTTATAGCTGAAGTCCAAAAAATTCAACAGAAGTATACTAAAGGTAAAGAGCAAATCACTACTACAAGTATCTAACCACCTCCTGAGGTAAAAGACTTTAAATTAAGAAGTCTTGATGATATTGAGGAACTTCTAGTTCAGAAGTTGGGTGAATTTAGAGCTAATCCTCTAAGTTTAAAGCATGCGTCTACTAACAACCTAAAGGTAGACGATGAGATTAATAAAATCTCTGAAAAATATGCTTGTAAACCATACCAAAAGATGTTCTATTATCCTAGACCAACCCCTCAAAATGTCCTAATAGAAGAACAGGACAATGACCACTACCACCAATGTTATAGTGGGTCAGATATCTATGAGTGGAATATAGATGATCTTGCTGAAAGTCAAATCTATTATAATATATATACTATATCAAATTTAAACACAAAATAAATTGCAAAGAAATATTCAAGGGAATGTCTTATAATTTTTATTATTACGACATTAACAAAAAATGGCAATATCTTTCTTAGTCTTCCTCACCCCAATGGAATGAGCACAACAAGGTACTAATACCACCATTAAAAGGAAAAAAAACTAAGGAAGATGTGCCAAAATACAAGTTACATATTAGTCTATGTATTATCTATAACAAATTTCATAAATCCTTCAAGGTCCGGAGGAATTTCCGTTGGTGGTGGCGGAAAAGAAGCTTGTTTATCACCGCTTCCGGGAGAAGCAACATCCTGCTCAAGTTCCGCTAGCATTTCTTCATAAACTTCGTCTATCTCTAGTTGTGATTCTGCAAGTCCAAAATTTCTTCTTTCCGAACGGATCCAATCTCTGAAGAGTACAGATTTTTCCAAGCTCTCCCTTATAGACGCTCTATGATCACCGATTTGAAGTATCGCTTGACTGAAAGCGCTCTCCGATGCCACTGTTGAAGATTGAACACTTAAAATATCTCGAGCCATCCTTGAAAGAACCGGATAGTGTTTTTGTTTGTCCTTCCACCATTCCAAAACATCAAAGGAGCCGTTGGGATTACTACAGGAGGGTCAAACGGGACATCATTTGGATTATTATCAGTTGGGTTATTAACAGGACTAGTAGGTGTATCATCTAAATTCGGTTGCGTTTACCATTTTTAAAGATAGTTTGATTAGGATAAAGAGCATTCATAACTTCATCATTTAATTGTTGACCTGGTGCAACATCATGCAAAATTGACTATCGAAAAATTAAAAACAAGGGTTATCACTATCAAGAATAACAGGTGGAGGAGAACGGGTAACAAGTCTGGGTCGGGGTCCCGGGCTCGCGATCTATTTGGTGAGGATCGGCCCACAGTGGGCTTTTAGGACCGTTAGGGACCGGACCATTTGAACCGGCCCGTTTGGCCCATTTGCTAGCGGTCCTGGGCTGGGCCCCACCCACAATACAACCTTAGGAGGAAGCCCCAATTTGAGACATTACAAATGTAAAAGTTAAACCTATTAATTATCCATTTTTTGAATTGATGATATAGTTCTTATCCATATTCAACCTGTTTTTAAAAAATTCTTATCCAACTCATTTTTTAATGGATAATGGGTGAATAACTGTTTTCTTTTATCCATTTTACCACTACTGCTGATACTAATATGCCGTTGTAACATCCCTGATAGCTCATAATTAGCGGTTTAATAAAGGTGAACAAGAAATGAAACTATCACTTCTAATATTGGTGCTTGAATGACACTGATGCAATTTCTGAATTTGAACAAAAGTCAGTATGAGATGTGATGCTTTAGTTTAAGGTAGTTTGGTGCTTCATATTGCAGAGGCTGGACTAAAACCAGGGAATTGTTAAATTATGAATGTTTTTGACAATGGCTGGAGGTTGAGTGACATTGTCAGGCTGTGGAATATTCCTTTCTTGTTAGGCAAATGGAAATTATGAGATTTTTTATTTACGCGTTTATGTATTTGCTCAGAGGGTGTTTGGCTAAGCTTATAAGTTGGTCAAACTGACTTATAAACACTTTTTGGCTTATCTACGCATTTGGTAAAATTAAAAGTGCTTATAAGCCAAAAATAAGCCAAAAGCCATAAGTTAGTCTCCCCCAACTAATCAAATTTCAGTTTATAAGCACTTTAGGTTTGACCAAAATAATTACTATTCTATCCCTAAAATACTTCTTTTTAAAACAAAACTCTTCGTATACCCAGTTTTTCAACTGCTTATTATTAATTTCAGTACTTTTATCCAAATACGTAACTATTTATTTTTTAAATCAGCTTCAGTACTTAAAAGTGTTTTTCAACACCTAATACTTATCGGCTACTCTAAATCAGCTAAGCCAAACGGGCTCTTATTCTATTCTAGTTTTATATGTGAATCTTTGAGCTTGTCTGACCGGGATCTAGGGTGGCTTTTGTAGGTTTTAACTAAACTTAATGCTTTTGACTTGAGTTATATATGCATATACAAAAATAATTTAAAAATATATATACATATAATAAGATCACGCTCATTCTGAACTAACTGACTCTAAATACTTCATTCGCCTTTTTATGCGTGTTTGACAAGCACACATACTTTGTTTTTTATACCTTGTTTTGGTTGGGGGGAGGGGAGGAGGGGAAGGGGGTTCTCTCCGGTCTTCAAGGGCTATATTGGACACATAACATGCGACCGAAACTAAGAATAGTGTAGCTAACATTTGGTAGTTCTTATTTTACAGACACATTTGACAGCTAGTAAATTAATCTTCCAGCTTCATAGTAAAATTAATCGTGTTGGCCCAACTAAAAGGTTAGCCTGGTCCATCCCTCCAGGTCTATCCTTCAGGTGCACAAAAACGGGCAAATTCGAGCATGTGGGATGCACGTGAAGGAGATAAGCTTAACTTGGTGTATTTAATATCTCCCGATCGAAAAAGTTGCATAATTGATAAAGAGAATGACTCTTTACTTAAAGAGAACACTATCCAAGATAGGGAAGGAATTAGAAGTTGAAGTCAACTAGAACTCTTCCTCCAAGGCAGAGTAGCATCAAAACTCTAGTTATTTCTTCATCTACTAACTCTATAAATTGCAGGATATTCTCACATTACAAGTGTTGCACAAAAACGGAGAAGTTAAACGTGAATTGAGAGCAAAATAGCAAGGCTTTTTGCAAGCAATTTGTGTGTGATTCAAGCGTGCAAACCTGAAGCTACTTGAACCAGATAGAAGAACCAGTTCCAAGTGTCGGTCTTTTATTCTAGTTCAATTGTAGTAGGTGTTTTCATATTGTACCTTTCAGCTTTATCTAGAAGCAATTATATTAGGTACTCAGAGTTTTCAAGTTAGAGTTAACTTGAAGTTGTCGCAACAATTGAGGCTATGTGCTACAACGGGATTAAAGTTAGTCCTAGGTTTACAAAAGAGTTTTTGTAAATGCAGTTTTTGCTCAGTGATTTTAGTGGAGAGTTTGGGAAAATCTTACTGGAAAGTAGGTCATGGTTTTTTCACATTTTGAGCCAGGTGTTTTCCATGTAAAATCTTTATGTTCTTTAATTTCTGTACTTATTTATTGCGCAACAGTAATAGTTGGAACATATAGAAAAACCAGGTCCTTCTATAATCAGGTTAAGCGAGAAATTGGACACCACACAAATCACCCCCTCTGATGTGGTATTGAAGTATAAAACAACAAATCGTTTAACTAGAAAAAGTTACAATTATTTCTGGTCTAAAATATTTAACTGTCATGCCTCCCAATGTGTTACCTAGTTGGGAACCTGCTACTAGAGGTTGGTAACAAATTGTATGCTTGACAATGTTGTCAATAGCTAACTTAGCATCCGGTGTCCGGTACCCGTATTGAGGTCCGAATAAATTCAGATTCACACTGAGATATCCCATATTGGGGTAAAGCGCTTCCTAATAAACGCGACTCCATACCTAGGACGCAAACCCGAGATCTCTGATTAAGGATGAAAGGGTACTTACCACTCCACCACAACCCTTGTTAGTATATTTCATGTACATATATTTCTGTTTTCTCCTCTTCTTCTATTCTCTTTTCTTTTCTTTTTTAATATAATATAATATGATGAGCAAGCTCTATTTATGCTGCATATACTCCTAATTATTTCTTGATCCATTTCAATGAAAGTATGAGCTTCACCATAATTAATCTCGAGCCTCATGAGATCAATGATAGTGCAATTGCTTCATTGTTGTTTGACAAAAAGATGAAGGGAAGAAGGCCAATTCCCAAGAGAGGGAAAATCATACTAATAAAGATAGCAGCAACGGCACTGCATTCGCTCTCAACCATGGTATACCTGACTGCAGGTCGACCTTCAAATTCCAGCTGCGGATCCCAGCATTAAAAGTCGTTCAATTTAAAAACTTTCGGTGTCCTTGTTTTTGATTCTTTGTACCTAGGACGTTTTGCTACCCTTCCTTGTAACAATTCTTAGGCCACAACATTTGCACATTTAAGCATTAAGATCTATTTTACAAATGCATAGTGAAGTGTAGATTAATTGGTCTCTTTCTTAAAGATAAAATGCACTAAATTCCAAATAATATAGTATGTACCTGACGAAGAAGAAATTGCCAAAAAATAAAACCTTCTAGCCTTAGGAAATGTTCATTGAATGCTTATGGAGAAAAAAGAGAGGGAAACATCTGTTTTTATGTCAAGAAGATTGCTATTAGTTTAACTCCATACAGTTATATTCTGAGGTGGTACCCTAATTTTAAAGCAAGGCACATAACATGACAGCAATATTAAGAAAAGCACTTGATACCTCCAGTGATTCCTTCTCTCCCTACAAAGCCAATGCATCAATAAAACATCAATCTTTCATTAAAGCTGTTATCTATTATCATGGCACTTTCAGGCCAAATTGTCTGGCATAGTTTATTGTCCAAGCCGGAGTGTAGCAATCGCCAAAGCGTTCCACCATTAAAATCTCAAAATGCAGCAATTGGAACAACATACGAACAAAAATTCAAGCTAGGATATATCAGGAGCAAAAAGAGGTCCTTGGTCACGCTTTCAATGCTCAATCCTGATATTGGCAAAGGTTCATCTTCCATATCTAACACAATTAGAAAGTTCTACTCTAGCATAAACAACAAGGATTTGAACCAACTAGCATTGCTTATATCTGAAGATTGTTTCTTTGATGATTTCTCCTTTCCTCAATCATTTCAATGGAGAAAGGTTTTCCCCTTATTTCTCCGTTAATAATAACATGAATTACGCTCTTAATCCGACTCTATAGCTCCAGGAGGTTTTAAAAATTCTGGAGCAACTAATCGCGAGCATGGGCCAGAACACAGAGTTCAGCATAGACAACATTTATGAAGGTGTTGATCTTACAGCAATAGTAAATTGGCATTTAGGTAATCAATCTTTTTTGAGAGTGAATTCGAATTGCATTTTTTAAACTTTCTGGCCATTTATCATATTGAATTACTCCTTACTGGTGCTGTCTTGATCGAGTCAAATAACCAAATAGACTCCTTAAATGGATCGATGATACTAAGTGTTCAATGATATGCTAAAATTAATGTTGGCCTAAACTATCCCAATGACACTCTTACCATGGTGTGATATTGCTCGCTTTGGGACAAGCCCGTACGGTTTTTCCCAAAAGGCCTCACACCATTAAGAGATTCCTGCACCTTATATGTAGACTCCCAATCTTTTTAGCTACCAATGTGGGACTTTGTTCGCACACCTAACAATCTCCCTCGAACTAAGTTCCACGTGGCCCACTGTCACCATTCATGGATCTCTTCCTCGTACTAAGTTCCACGTGGCCTATTACCACGATCCACGGGTCAATTTTCGAGATTCACTATGTGCCACCCACATAGTCAGAGTATTTATGGCAACCGAACCCCGCAACTAGCATCTTTTTGTGTGCGCGTGTCCAAGCTCGAAAGGATAAAGAAACCGAGCCCCACGCCATCATCCTGCCATCACCATATTCGTCCCGTTGAATCCGGGTTCTGATACTAGTTGTTGGGCTAAACTAGCCCAATGACACTCTTAACATGTTGTGACATTGTCCGTTTTGGGCCAAGCTCGCACAATTTTTCCCAAAAAGCCTCATACCATTAAGAGATCCCTACACCTTATATGTAGACTCTCAATCTTTTCAGCTACCAATATGAGACTTTGTTCGCACACCTAACAATTAATTGTAACCAACTCATTTATATAAATGTATAGATTAGACGCAAAAATTGAAAGAGTATACTTGTAATTGCAGAATGGAAGAAGAAGGAAGTTCCTTTTACTAGAGGTTGCAGCTGCTATGAATTATCAAGAGATGGAGAAGAACTACTCATTAAGTAAATAATCCACACTTATTAAAAGCCATTTTTAGTTTAAGCCTCTTACTTTATCAACAGAAGCTTAAATACTGAGTGACATATAATGCATGCAGGAATGCTCAAGTTATTACTGAATCATCTATGAAACCGATATTTTTGGTATGTTCACCATCACCTTTTTTTTTTTTTTTTTTTTTTTTTTTTTTTTTTTTTTTTTTTTTTGTATAATAAACAAACTGAACAACTTAATTAATCAGAAAGAATGTCTTTTCCGCAGGGGTATAAGTGGATACTTAAAAACCGACTAAACTGACGGAATCATACTGTGCCGAACCGATTTTTATGTTTCTTTTAATAAAATCGTAGGTTTTTATATAAATCTATAATCGTACCGATAATTAGGATAGATTTTTTATTTTATAAAATAAACCGAAAAAATATCGAACCGTAACGAATAAATTTACATGTGAAAAATATATTTATATATTAAGTTTAAAGATAATAATGTATTAAAATTTTCCTTGGGCCTTAGAATAATGGAGACGGTTACAAGCTGATAAGTAATTAAACTCAAAATCCTAATTCCCAAATCTATAATGCTAGTCCTATATTGAAACTAAATTATTTCCATCATATTCATTAGCAAGACACAAGGTATTCTAGCGATTAGTAAAAAACTACATTTTATTGAATATGTTTCCTTTCGTATAATTTAGATTTATCTTTTTGAATATTTAGTCTTCTGTAGACTTTATTCTTGAGTTCCAGTTTGGTTAATATTTTTTTACTCCTGTGATTTATATCTTTTTGTCTTTGTTTAATTTCTTTTATGCTGCTGTGGAATAGTTGCTGAATCTATAATCTGGCCATCTTTCAAATCTTCTTAATTCAACACTCTTTTAACAGTAAAAATGTCTAGAGAGTATGTATATTATTGCATTCTACTTGTACTAGAAACTTTTACATGACATTTAAAAAAAATACTGAAAATTAACCAAATCATACCGATACCGAAGAGAAACCGACATGATTGAGACCGTTTCGAAAAGTCTAATTTTAATTATACATAATAGAATAACCGAAAATTTGGTATGATATAAATTTTAGAAAATAACCGTCCGAACCGAACCTCTACTTTTCAGGGCAAGTGGAATCGCAAATTCTTGTTCAGTTCCTATTTCATTAACACATGCCTTTCTTGTCGTGAAAAAAAAAAAAAAAAAAAAAAAAAAAAAAAAAAAAAAAAAAAACAGGCACTGTACAAGATCTTAACTTCAGCATTTGATTACTTCCCAGAAGCAGCTGAGAGTATGTCAATTTCTTTATTTTCTCCACACTTCAAAATGGAAGAATTTAAGAAGGAAAAATGATCAATTCTCACAGGGCATGATTTTTGTTTTTTTCCCTTGCAGGGTTTCGAAAAAGCCATCAAATTACGTATCAACTGTTAGTAAATGTTTACAAGATTGTTTTTTACCCCTTCATAAGTCCAATTCTTGCATGGTATAAAAAGTTATGGAGCTTCACAGTTACCCTTCTTAGATTCACCAACAAATTAGTGCAGTTCATTACGAAAAGTTTCAGCAAGTAGAACATAGTTACAGAGCAAGTTCAATATTTTCCTCATTGATTTGGCTTTTATCAGCATGCTCATTTGCTTGCTTCCTAGGGGTCATTGTACCAATTGTATCAATATATCTTTAACGATCGGTTAGCGGTTGTTACTCGTTGGATTGTATTGTTACTTTAAATATAATGTTTGTTTTGATTGTTACTTAAATTTTATTTTATCGTATCGTTAATTACATCATTACATAATGATATAAAACGTCATTTTATATAACGACCAATTTGATGTGGTCACGTCATTGCGTTATTTTTTCCTCTCATTTTGCCCTTTATTGTAAAATTAAGGGGTGATTTGCAAGAATGGCATTGGAAGTGGGTGATCTTATTTTTCAAGTTTAATAAGTATTGTTTCTCGTTTGTCCTATGAGCAATATTTTTGACTTTGACCTTAAAAGTTTGTCTATCGGCAAGCGGAGGCCAAAAAATCTAAACCATCCATTTTCATGGTCATTGAGTGTACTTTTCTCAAAATTAAGTATGTCAAATTTGCTCTTTTTTTTAAAAATAAAATAAAATAAAGAAAGGATGTGTGAAATTGTGCAATCTTAGTAGTAATCATGATTTTGAATTTGCTCGTTGAAGACCATAGAAGTGCTCTGCGTCGCATAGTACTTTGCCTTAAAAAAATGTCCTGCATATCCTCGTGGAAGAATAAATAAAAGTAGGACGAAAGTCTAAAATAGTAATATTTTTATAAGGGATAGGACATGTAACAACCTGGCAGGTCGTTTTAAAAATTAACGTTTCGATCCCCTATTAACTACTTTTTCTGTGTTTGTTTCTGCTATTGTGAGTTGCCGGGAGGATTCATTTTGAGTTTCGGAATATTTTGGGACACTTAGTCCCTAATGAGAGCTTAAGCTTTAGAATTTGGACCGTAGTCGGAGCAGTGTGAAGACAGCCTCGGAATGCGATTCCGTTGATTTCGTTATCTCCGTGGAGTGATTTCGGGCTTAGGGGCATGTTCAGATTGTGTTTTGGAGGTCCGTAACTTATTTAGGCTTGAAATGCCGACAGTTGAATTTTTTAAGTTTCCGGATCGATAATGAGATTTTGATATCGGGATCGGAATCCGATTCCGAAAGTTGAAATATCTCCATAGTGTTGAATGTGATTTGTGTGCAAAATTTGGGGTCAATCGGACTTGGTTTGGTGGGTTTCGGCATCGGTTGTAGGATTCTTGAAATTTCAAGTTCTTTAGGCTTGGATTGGAGGTCGATTCGTGGTTTTCAAGTTGTTTGATGTGATTTGAGAGTTGGACTAAGTTCGTATGATGTTTTAGGATTGGTTGACATATTTGGTTGAGGTCCCGGGGGGGCTCGGGTGAGTTTCGGATGCTTAACAGATTGGAAATTTGGACTTAGGCAAAAATCTGAGGTTGCTGAACCTGTCATAACCGCACCTGCGTGTGTGGGACTGCAGGTGCGGTGCTGCAGAAGCGGCTTGGTGATCGCAAAAGTGGGAATAGGCCAAGGCTCCAGGAATCGCAGGTGCGGCTGGGTGACCACAAATGCGGAACCGCAGATGCGGACCCAGCCCGTAAAGTAAATTTCGCACATGCGATGCTTTTTCCGCAGGTGCGGGACCGCAGTTGCGTCCCCATAACCGCAGATGCAGAAATTTCTGGTTAGAAATATGAAATTTCGATGGTTTGAGTTCATAACTTGGAAAATCATATCTGGAGCTAGGGGTAAGGTGATTTTCGGAGGATTTTGAAGAGAAAATCAGTGGGTAACGATTCCTAATCCCTTTCTAGTTGTATTCCATTAATCTAGTCTTAGTTTTGTCATTTAATTTCGGATTTGGGGTGAAAATTGGGAGAAAACAGGAAAAGTTCCCCAACCTAAAAATATGAGTTTTGAGGGAAATTTTGGCATCGTATTTTAATGATTTTTGTTCGAGTGTGCTCGTGGGTGAATGAGTGTTCATAATCCATAACTTTTACCTGATTCCGAGACGTGGGCCCGGAGAGAATTTTTGGGCATTTTTTTACTTTGTTGCCTTAGCTTCGATTTCATTAGTTAAATTAGTTGTTTGTAGTTGTATTTACGTTGTGATATTAATTTGACTAGATTTGGGTCACCCGAAGTTGGATACTCATGGCAAGAGCGTGATTTCGGATTGATTTTGAACCGATTCGAGGTAAGTGGCTTGCCTAACCTTGTGTGGGGAAACTTCCCTTAGGATTTTGGTATTGTTGTTATTGAGTGCCGTGTACGCAAGGTGACGAGGGCGTACACGTGCTAATAGTTGAAAAATCCCATTTTTATCAAGTAAATATCTGTATTTTTCTTGTAATGGAGCAATACTTGTACTTGAAGCCTCTTGTTTAGCTTAGGAAAAACATGCTTATGTGTTCTAATTGTCTTACCTGCTTTAACTACTTACTTGTACTATGTGTTTAGAGTAGAATTACTGTTTATTCATGAATAGAACTGTAGATTCTTTCTTGATATTGTTGTCTGTTTACTTTGGGACTATAGGACAATATCCCAGGAGATCTCTCTGCATGTTTACTTTGGGACTACGGGTCGGTATTTCGGAAGATCCCCCTGTACGTTTATATTTAGGACTATGGGACGACACCCGGGAGATTCCCCTATACTAGATATTTACTTTGGGACTACAGATTGGTATTCCGGGAAATCTTTTGCNATATATAACCAGTAGGACCCTGACCTTACTCGTCACTACTCGGCCAAGGTTAGGCTTGGCACTTACTGAGTACCGTTGTGGTGTACTCATGCCTTTTCCTGCACATGTTTTTCGTGTGCAGATCCAAGTTCTTCGGCTCAGCCATACTATCAGTAAGGCGAGGCGACCTTCAGAGACTTCGAGGTATATCTGTCGCGTCTGCAAACCGAGGAGTCCCTCTCTATTCTCCTTTCTAGCTTTAGACTTCCTGTATTTACTTTTGTTTAGAAATTCTGGAGTTATAACACTATGTAGTTATTCTACATCTTGTGATTTCATGAGATTTCGGGTTTTGGGATTTTGATTCAGTTTTGAGGGTATGTATTGTATATGCCGAGCGGCATTGTTAAACTCTTTATTTATGTTTTTACTCGTAACTTGCCAGTTTCGTATTTCATTTCCTTTTTCCGCAATTTGTTAGACTTACCTAGTTGTAGAGACTAGGTGTCGTCACGATAGTTCACTGAGGGAGAACATGGATCGTGACAAGTTGGTATCAAAGCTCTAGGTTCATAGCAGTCATGAATCACAAGCCGGTTTATTAGAGTCTCGCGGATCGGTACAGAGATATCTGTACTTATCTACGAGAGGCAATGTAACTGTTAGAAAAATTTCACTTCATTTGATTTCCTTTTCGTGCGAGATTTTTGACAGAACAATTCTAAATCTCTGTCTTCTATTCTCTTATAGATGGTAAGGACACGTGCTACCAGAGATGACTAGGCACTCGCGCCCCCTGCTAGAGTCGCCAGAGGTCGGGGCAGGGGTAGAGGCCGAGGACGCACCCGTGGTGCAGCCAGAGCACCCATGCGAGCAGCCACAGAGGAGCCACCAGCAGCTCCAACCGGAGTCCAGGCACCTGATACGCCTACTGCTACTACAATTCCATCTCTTGAAGAGATCCTTGCACAGTTTGTGAGCATGTATACCACTCTAGCTCAGGCAGGGTTGATTCCCCTTGCTGCAGCCACATCCCAGGCCGGGGGAGGGGCACAGACTCCCGCCGCTTGCACTCCTAAGTAGCGGGTTCAGGTTGACCAAATCCTAGAGGTTATACTGGTATCGCCTGCAGTCCCAGTTTAGCCCGAGGACAGGACAACAACTTCAGAGGATGAGCAGCGGAGGCTTGAGAAGATCAAGAAGTATAAACCTCCTGTATTCAGTGGTCTAGCATCAGATGATGCTTTGGGATTTCTGGAGGAGTTCTACCGTATCCTACGCACTATGGGTATATCAGGATCGAGTAAGGTTTCTTTCATTGCCTTCCAGCTTCGAGGAGCACCCTATCAGTGGTGGTGTACTTTTGAATTGGACAGTCCAGCTGAGGCAGCATCCCTTACATGGACCCAGTTTTCGGATATGTTTTTAAGAGAGTATGTTCCTCAGAGCCTCAGGGACGTATGGCGCGCAGAGTTTGAGAATTTGTGCCAGGGTACTATGACTGTTTCGGAGTATGCTTTCCGTTTCACTGACTTGTCTAGGCATGCACCAGCCTTGGTTTCTACAGTTCGTAAGAGAGTTTGCCGGTTTATTGAGGGGCTTATTCCTAGCATCAGGTCTAGCATGGCTCGGGAGTTGGAGATGGATATTTCTTATCAGTAGGTGGTGAGCATTGATAGGAGAGTAGAGGGCATGCACGCTCAGGATAGAGAGGAGAGGGAGGCCAAGATGTCTCGAGAGTCGGGCCACTATTCTGGTGCCCGTTCCCCAGCTGCAATTCGTCATGGTAGGGGTTATATGAGTCGCACCGTTCATTCAGCTCTTCCTACAGCCAGTGGTATTCCAGCTCCTCCTAGACCTCAGGAGCCTTATTATGCACCTCCAGTATCTAGTGCGCCTCCTGCATGGGGTGCTTTCAGTGATCAGTCCAGCAGACCTGGCTCAAGCTAGTCACAGCCGCCACGCCCTCCCAGAGCTTGTTTTGAGTATGGAGACACACGTCATATGGTGAGGGATTGCCTCAGACTTAAAAAGGGTGCACCTCCACAGACTTCTCAGCCACAACGTGCCTCGCAGAGTTCCCAAGCTGTGATTACAACACCATTTGCTACCTCACCTGCCCAGCCAAATAGAGGTGGAGGTCGGAGAGGTAGAGGTCGCCCTAGAGGGGGAGGCCAGGCCAGATATTATGCCCTTACTACCCGTACCGAGGCTATTTCCTCTGATTCTGTTATCACAAGTATTGTCATGGTTTGTCATAGAGATGCATCGGTTTTATTCAATCCAGGCTCCACTTATTCTTATGTTTCCTCTTATTTCTCCCCGCATTTGGGCGTATCTCGGGATTCTTTGAATTTTCCTAATTATGTTTCTACTCCTGCGAAAGATTCTCTTGTTGTAGACCGCGTTTATCGGTCGTGTTTGATTGCTCTTAGTGGTTTTGAGACC